CCCCCCCCCCCCCTCCCCTTTCCGTGGTCATAAGTCTAACCGCTAAGGCAGAAAAATCATGAGTAGACACCTCCAACTCCACCACCTACCTTGCAGGCCGGAGACATGACTAGGAGCACCACTCTGAAGCTGGACCTGCCTCCGATGCTCCTGAACAACGGCTCCGCGTGGGCGCACGTGTTCTTAACCAAGCAAGGACACTCCCCGAACCCTAACGTGAGCGTCTTGCACGTGCGCAAGCATTTCTTACGTATCTACGTGCGTGAGCGACGGCATACTTCTACCGTAGAAGGACGGAAAGGGGGTGATTTGTTGCCGGCCGGGAGGCGCGTGTTTTGTGTTTGTCTAATGTTGAGTGTTGTGTGTGACGTTTTTCTTGGCGATCGGCCTGGTGGGTGAGCTTACGTTGCTCGCAACGTTCGTGCTTTTAATCGCGCCCTTGAGGCTGCCCTCGTCTTTCGCTCCGTCAACCGAAGAGCTTTGGCTGGCCGGGGCCTCGGGCGGGGGTAGGAGGAAGGGTGTCTGATGGTATGTAGCCGGGGCGTGTTTTCATGATGACAGAAACAACGAAGACGTGAACGACAACAACCAAAACCACATCATCAACAACAACAACAACAACATCAACAACAGCATCTCGAGAATAACGGCAAAGACTGACATCAACACTACTGGCATCGCCTCTTCCCCCACGATCCCCAGGACCCCAACTACAAGGACTCGGGAGTCTCCCACCAGACCGCCCAACTCAACAGGTACCTCCCCAAGCCCAAGAACAAAGACGGGCACTACCTCGTCGACTCAAAGAAGTCTGCCGCCGACGCCGCGGCGGAAAAGGAGAGGAAGGAGTTGGACGAGAAGGAGGCGGCGGTGGCCCTGGCGGGGGCGGACAGAGAGGCGGGTAGATTTTTGCAAGAGCGGGTTGAATCCCGCCCAAATATGTGCACACATTTTTTGTCCCGTCATCTTGTGCGACAATGATGCACAGCAGTCACCCTTGATCTTTTATTTTTGTGTTTGATCTCTCGCTGCACCGTGGATGAATTAGAACTGCGCGTTCAGGCGATGTCGTGTTGTGCGAGAGGGTGTTTGTGTCTGATGGGCCTTCGTGAATTTTGAAAAAAAAATCGGTGCTGTGTGCGATGATTTTGGGTTTTATTGAAGTCGTGTGGTGTTGCTGTGGACGTCAACCACATGTTTTTACATTTTCTTTTTTACTTGGTCCACGTCCCGTGCGTTTCATATCATTAGTTCTTCGTGTAAGGTCTTTCGCGCGCAGGTATCACGATACTCTATCGAGCTGACCAATGATAAGAGGTGAGCGCTAACGGAACGCAAGGTGTACGATTCCCTTCGAGGAGACCGGCGGACGTGGCGCGCACGTGTGCATGAACGTTTACACATGCGCGTATCTCTAACGAACACACCCACACGACAGCACTTTGCCCAACCTCTCTTGAGCAACCCTCGTAATCGTCACCCAGGGGCCGTCAATCAGCTCTCTTACAGCTTGTCCCCATGCTGTTGGCCGTTATCCCAGCCGTAGCCCACTCACTAAGCTTAGGGCTGCGAAAAAGGGGTGCGGTCCTAACCTACACTATCGCTGTTTTGTGTGCAGATGATCAACTACTGGAAGCCTACGCTAACGTTGGGGCAGCTGGACTTCACGGCGATATTTCAGCGCAACCACATCCCGTCGTCCTTCGCGGGGCACATCACCTTCCAGTCGTAAGCTTAAGAGGCAGCGTGCAGGTGCTGTTTAGAGGGAGTGCAATCAGAGCTCATATGGCACGTGCCATTGTTGGCAGCGTTGTATTGTTGGTGTTTGGTGTTGTCGGTGTCACCTAACAAGAACATTCTCACCTTTCGGTATTCATCCGTACGGCGGTAGACGGTATCTCCGTGATGGTATGCCAGCAGAATGATGGCTATTGAGCCCAACTCGGTCCACGTTCTCTCAGCAGAGGACGAAAAAGAAACGCTTAATAATATATACACGTTGGAAGAACACACGACACGGAAAAAGTATTTTGATGAAAACGGAACCAACTAAATTTATTGGTGCACGGAAGTACTTGGGATATCGATCTACAACGCGTAGTCTGCGTTCTTCTTTGGCCCGCCCTCAAAAGCGTGTTGGTTTTTGCCCGCCCTCAAAGCGTGTTCATTCGGTTTTCTAGGGTGAGGCCGTGGGGTTTCTTTTTTAACGTGGACGTTTGTGTTATTGACGCTCTCCCCAGATCCACGGGCAACTATCACCCGGTGCTCTACGTGAACGAGTTCTGGCTGCAGCAGAAGCACCTCGTGGCCCTCAACTCGACGGTGGAGTCGGTAGACCTGGAGCTCAGCATCTCTCCCATCAGCCTCTGGAAGTTTCAGGTTTGTGTGTGCAGCGGGAGGCCAGGCCATGAGGACGCAGACTGTCCATTTCGTTGTTGTTGGTTGTTTGCTGCTCCGGGTTGTCACATTATCGATTCGACCCAGAAAAAGCAAGAAGACGTTTCACCTCTTGGAGTTCGACACTCAAGTGGGATGAGGGCAGCGCGGAGTGAGGTTTCTCCACCCCGCACAACATGATCTACTCGACCACCATTATGGTTACCGCCAAAAGAAGAAAAACAGGTAAAAAAGAACAAACGGTAACCTGGTTGCCGAGTTCACGAAGTGAATTGGCTTGTTTTACAACGTCGTTGCCAAGCGACGAAAACCCAACCCCNGGGCACGGGGGGGGGGAGGTGTTCGTTTGTTGTTTTGCTGTGACTTGAACCACCCCGACTCATCTGTCCTGCTGCTGACCGCAGAGGCCGCGTTGATGGAGTAAACGGTACTCTGTCGTAGAGTTTACGGATCAGAACGACTAAAATGATGTATCTGCGTATGTTCGTGCTTTCCGCGATCTCTCGAAAAATCACACGGATCTCTCTCTCTCTCGCGTGGCACCTCCGCCGACAAAAACAAGACAAGCCCGATACCAAACCGTCGTGTCGATTACGACACTCTTTGTAGCTAGATCGAGTGGGTCGAATCACTTCAAGCGACTTCAGTTTTTTTTTTTCTGGCGTTCCTCGCTCCCTGCGGTGCGCGCGGGTCCCGTATGCAAACACGTCTTTTTGGTTCTGGGGCGGGGGGTGCAGACAATGTCGCAGCTGGAGAGCCAGTGGGCGGCTCAGGCCAAGATCGGCATGGCGGGGGACGGGGAACAGGACACCTTCAGGGAGGTGGGTGTCGGTTGCGCGTTTTGGCTGCGTGTGTGACCGCCGCTCTCGTCCATTTTTCGACGACGTTGCTGTCGTCGACCGCCAGCCTTGTCTTGGACCGCTTTGCGGCGTGTTTTTGTGTTTCTTTAGTTTTTTTCATGGGATGAGAGCTGCCCGATTTTTGTCGCGCCCCTAAGGTTACTTGCTACCTTCGGTGTTTGGAGTGCTTAGATTAGTCAGTCCACGGCATCAAGACAGATTTATCTGTTTTTGTGGAGGAGGGTTCCAGTGCTTGATACGCCGGAGGCTTTCCGCGGTTGCTGTTTCCCGTTGACGTTGACGTTGGTCACCCTTTGCAATTCGGTTGCGAGTCGCTTGTTCGTACATTTCTGTTTGTTGTTGTTGTTGTTGTTGTTGTTGTTGTTGTTGCTGCTGCTGCTGCTGCTGCTGCTGCTGCTGCTGCTGCTTCTGCTGTTTGTTGCTGTTGGTGCAGTTGCTGCCATTGGTGCTGTTGTTATCATTGTCGTGCCCCCTCATGCCCACCAACTACGCCTCTGGCACTATGGTCCCCGCATATTCCAACACTCCATGTCCTACCAGGAGAACAAAGAGGCGAGGGTGCTGTCTCACGCGACCTGTCCCCACCCCATCCAACGAATCCCGCATCTTGCGTCCCTCCTTTTCCCTACCCCCCCTCCCCCGTTACCGCCGTATCTTGCGATATACATCACTCAACAAATCTCTTTCGGAATAGTAAAGCATTCCCTGCTTGATGTTGTAGCCTTGTGTCAACGTAGGTACCTCAATGCATTTTTTTACTTGTGTCGTAGAGGGTGGAGACCACCAGCCCGTCATTTCGCCTCATCAAAGTCGTGTGTAAGTTGCTAAACTGTCCCCCAAAGTACAATTTTTTTTGTTGATCTTTTTCTCTTGTGTCTCAGCATTGATCCCTGCGTCAACCTTTGTCCTCAACGTTGAGAGACGAACCCGGCTGGTCCTTGATGGTGACCATCTTCACTTTAGAAGAAAACAAACGAAAACACCTTCAAGCCTTTGTCTCTCCTCGGTCTCGCGCCAAAACGACACGCAGCTGCTGGCGGAGACCAACCCGATTGTGCTGGTGATCACGATGATCGTCTCGCTGCTGCACTCGGTGTTCAACTTCTTGGCGTTCAAGAACGACATCACCTTCTGGAAGGACGAGAAGAGGTATACTATCATAAATAGTAGCTGGAAGGACAAGGAGAGGTATACTAGTGGTGGTAGTAGGAAGGACAAGAAGAGGTACACTAGTAATGTGGCGGGTCATTCAACCACTGCCCTCGCCAAGAAAGTGTACAGTGGGCGGTTTCCCCTTTGGTCTCGAACAATTGATCAACCCACCATGTATGTAGATGTATACACCTGGGGCCGACCTTTGAGAAAAATGCAGCCCCGGAACATGTGGAAGCATAAGGAACAAACGTATCACCAAGCTTTCCAGGCTCGCCTCGGGACGCCCACACTTGGAGCGTGTTGGAAACCTACGACAGTTACACTGTCTTGTGTAGCTGTATGGCTCATAGAGGCAGTAGGAACCGCGGCCTTGGGGCAGCTGTTGTTTGGCGGCCTTGTCTGCAGGTCCTTCTTGTTTTCATTACACAAAGAGGGTTACGGTAGTGATTCACCCAAGGGGGGCAGTGATGTAACGTGCATATCTGTTTCAAGGAATCACCGTGCTGTGTAGGTTGCTTTAGATACTCCACACTACACTTGGATAGGCTTCAAAACTCGTCCGCTCTGCAGCACAAACGGCAGTGACGGTCTCGAAAGTGGCGGCGTTGGAAACCCCCTTGTCAAGTGCACTTCGAGAAATGCAAACATTACATTTTGATTGATGGCATCTTCGCTGTCGTGGAGTAATCGAGCTTTAGGAATCGGTCCAGGGGGCGCGGCCGGCCTATCTTATGCAACCTACGGTAGGCGTGACGGGTGTGTTGCCACGCAGTATCGTCTTTTCGGGGCAACAACAAAAAAAAACACACACACACACACACACACACACGTCCATGTGCGTACAAACCCGTACACTTAACAGCGGGTGTTTTCTTCGTCTCTTGTGCGTACAGTGACGCGCACATTGGTCTGCTGTGTTACGATATCCCCGCTTTGTGTACAGTAGCACGCACGTACGTCTGCTGTGTTGTGATATCCGCGCGTTGTATCCGCGCGCTGTCCCTTCTTATGTGTGTGTCATGGTTTTCGCTTCCTAGATCGTTGGAAGGCATTTCCGTGCGGGGTATGCTAGTCAACCTGTTCTTCCAGGCGGTGATCTTCCTCTACCTGGCGGACAATGACACGACTTACATGATTCTCGTCACCAACGCGATAGGGCTGGCCATCGAGGCAAGCAGCCTGTTGCTTGCTGTTCTTGGTGCTGCTGGTGCTGCTGCTGCTGCTGCTGCTGTTAATCTGTTGCTCTTGGTGATGGTGGGGCTGGTGATGCTTGTGCTGGTGGTGTTGCTGCTGCTCCAGTCGGCGTGGTCAAGTGAACTGTTGTTGTTGTTCTTGATGGTGGTCGTAGGGGTGTGGTGCTAGTGCTGCTGTTGTCGCCGTGATCAAAGCGCCCGCTGTTGCTTTTCTTGGTGGTGGTCCGTTTGTTCTTGTCGCAGTTGCAACCATCGTGCTTGTGACTTTAGAAACTGTTTTTGTCGCGACTGGATAGACGCATGGCGTGCTTTGGTGCTAATACTTCCATCCGGTGGTCTTTGATACCGCGTGCACCCAACAAAAATGAAGGCTCTTTGGAGGGGTTTCCAACGTTAACGTTGGACGTTAACGTTCGCTCTACATACCGCTGTGTGCAGGTTTGGAAGGTGGGTAAGTTCATGGTCGGTCGGCTGGACTGGGGTGGCAAGGACGGGCAGCCTCGCCGACGGGTCCCGAGGATGACGTTCCAGGCTAAGGAGAGCTACCGCAAGGTAAACCTAGTGTTTGTTTTCTCAGAATCAGTTGTTTGTGGGTTTTGGTGGCGGTGGTGGTCGTGGTCGTGGTCGTGGTCGTGGTGTTGCCTTGTCGTTGGAAGATTCCTGCCCAAACTGACACGTAAAATTCCTGTCCTGTATCTATCTTGATCATTCGCACACCAAGGTATTGTTTTCGCATCCAAACCAACCAACCATCAATGCTCCCGGCAATTCCTGCCCAAAACTGTTCAACTACTATTAGTAAGCTGTGGTGTGCATGTTATGTAAAAGAAAGCCACCCCACACATCACCCGCACACCACGGTATTTTTCACGCATCCGAACCACTCGACCAACCACCGATGACGCTCCCGCCCGAAACGGAACGACCTGACTGACCAGAGCAAGACGAAGGAGTTCGACGACGTCGCGACGGCGCACCTGCTGTACCTGGTGGGCCCGCTCATGGTCGGCTACGCCGCTTACTCGCTGCTGAACCAGCAGCACCGAGGGTGGTACAGCTGGGTGCTCAACTCTCTCGTTGGCTTCGTGTACATGTTCGGGTTCGTCATGATGACGCCCCAGCTCTTCATCAACTACAAGGTCAGCGGTGCATCGAAGAGNTCTTGTGCTTACTTCCTTGCGTACGGATGACAGCTGCGTATGACTTAATTTACTTTCTGGTGCTTTCACTTCCAGAGACAGTTGCAAGCACTGTGTAACTGCCTCGAGGGTGCTTGACCATTTTAACACAACGTGGTGCGATCACCCCCCTTGCGCGGAGTGAATTTTCTCCACCCCGCACAACATGATCTACTCGACCACCATTGTGGTTACCGCCAAAAAAAAAAACGGAGGTAAAAAAAAACAACGGTAACCTGGTTACCGAGCTCNGGGGGGGGGGGGGGGGGGGGGGGGGGGGGTGGGGGAGGGGGGTGATCAGCCAACGCAGGCCTGGCGTGTGTGTATGCTTGGCCAACGCATGCCGTAGTATCTTGACCGTTGACCTCGCATCCCGGGACAGAGCGATATGCGGGGTTTGTTCGCGGGTCCAGGCTACGTTTGAAAAGTATGAAGAGGGGAGGGGAGGGGGCGGCACCGCCGGTAGCTATGGCTAGCTCTCGTTACCACATGCGTGCGTATAGCGGAACTGTTACTGGCTGGGCCCCCAAGGTTCTTCGTCTTTTTCGAAACGAAAAGGATATTTGGTCATGGGCTTGATCGACCCGGGCTCGAAAGTGTGCAAGAGTGGCATGCTGGCCCTGTTGGAAGTACGAGCGTTATTTTCGTGCCGCTTTAATTTTTTGGCCACCGTGGTCTAACTTTTGTGTGTTCGAAAGCTATTCTGGACCTATTTGGCAGGTAAAATAAAGCCTTACGGTCTTTGTAACATCCATGCCATCTTGTTTTCATTTATTTACACACCAAGCCGCTCCCCCCGCTTTCTGCTGATTGTGCTCTCCACCGCCCGCATCATCACTCCCACGACTAACACCTCGTTCAACACCAACACCGCGATCAACCGCCACCACCGGCTACCAAAACCGGCAGCTGAAGAGCGTGGCGCACATGCCCTGGAGGGTGATGTCGTACAAGTTCATCAACACGTTCATCGACGACCTGTTCGCCTTCATCGTGCCCATGCCCATCATGCACCGCCTGGCGTGCTTCCGGGACGACATCATCTTCTTCATCTTCCTCTACCAGCGGTACCTCTACCCCGTCGACAAGGCGCGCCGCAACGAATACGGGCAGTCGGCCAAGATGTCGGCCGACGCGGAAAAGGTACGACAAGCACAAGCTTCGAATGCTCAACAAGCAGAATAAGGTGTATACAGATGGCGCCCGCACTCAAGAACCTCTAGTTTCGGCCGAGGTTGGGGTTCTTTCTTTGCTAATCATCCTGGTGTGGGCTACAAATGACCGCTTTATAGGTTTTAGTGTGGGGTTCTTAACCGAGCTCACAAATGGTGCTCAGTTCTTAGCTGCTGATTTTTTGCGAGTCTCAATTTCTGAACTGCTAAGTTCTTTGAGTGCGGGCGCTATCTGTATAGAGGGGAAAACACCAGAAGGGGGAAAATATCCATCATAAGGAAGATCAGGTTAGGTGGAGATCGGAATTTTGTTTTGCTCCTATGTATCGATTTGTACGATGATTTTCTTGTTGCTGTTGTTGTCGGCGGACGACTCGAGGGTATGTATGCACTGTATTTGCTTTGGCGACCAACGGTATGATTGGATGTTCCTTTCCCTCGGTCTCGTTTTGTAGATTTTGTATTTGTTTTGGTGCCGACACAGCAATGTTGGAAGAAGCGTCTGTTTCAGTGAAGCGCAAAGTTTGCTCAAACAGAATTCGTGGCAGCACGCAGGTCGGCCAATGTGGGTTCCAAACGCCTGAAACGGCAAAAGGGGGGCAAACAGGTTATTTAAGACAAGTTTTTCACGCTAGATCCCCCCCCCCCCTCCCTCCCCCGCTGTTCTAGTTGAAGAAACCAAACCCCATGGCGATGTCTGTCGAACGGTACCTCAGGATGTCACCTTTTTGCTGTCACCTTTTTGCCCACCTTACCACCCCCCCACCCTTGCCAAACTCTTTCGCCTAGCCTACACGCAACCTCGCCAAAAATTCCCAACTTGTGTTTCCTTGTTATGCGTGACACGTTCCGCTTCCTTGGCTGTCTGCACCGGCCACACGCACGATGTTCCTGCCCCCTTGACCTTGACCCTCGCACATGTCTATCCTTGCTGATTCGACAACCGCTAGTCCCTGGTGATACCCGCGTGTAGACAATCTCGACCGTCAAAACCTCGAGCCTGGCATGTGTCAGCCCTTGCTCGCTTGACGCCACGTAGTGACCACAACACTTTCAACCTCTTCTGTTCACTTTTAAATTTTGTTTGTCGATTGTTTTCGCCCACCAGCGTCGCTCCTCAAACCTAGCTCACCCTTGAATATATACAAGTATATAATTTTTTCCCTTGCACGTGCCCTTAACCTAGCCATCCCCAAGATGCTTTTTTCGTTCACCGTTCGTTGTGCGCTTGCCCTTCTCTTCCTTCACCACCAGATCCGCGAAGCGCAAGTAGCCACCGAGTCGAGGGTGGTCAGAGTACCAACGCGGTCAAAGAAGGACAAGGCTAGCTAGACATCGCTACCGCGGGGGTGTTATTTAGTGCGGAGCGAGGGCTGGTGTACGTGTGCCGTCACACACGGCTAGGGCGGCGATTGTTTGGCACGGTTGATTAATGTATCAAGAGTGTGCCGGGGGGGAGGATGGGCATCGATGCTGCGTGCTCGTGGGGACTCAGTGGTACGAGGTAGATTATGGAGAGGTTCTGGTGGTGGTGTTTTGGCGCGGACGCCGCTTTCTGCAACGGATCGATTCTTCCCCGTTCCGCCCCGTGAATTCTGCTGGGACGTCCCGTGAAGCCAACCGGAACGTCCCGCACTACCGCTGTTGCTGTGCGGTTTGTGCGCGCAGCACGGCGATTTCACGTTCGTTTTTTGCGCAAGAAAGACGTGCTTCTTTCTAAGTAAGAGCGAAGTGTCTTCGCGGGAGGTGGAGGAAAACTCTGTGGCATGGTGTGAACCTTTTCCGGAGCACCAGGGGCGGGATGTTTTCTGCGGGATGCCGTTGCGTGGGGGCTGGGTTTTGGTTACGTTCTCATCCTGCCGTAGAACGGACGCCTTACGCGGTGTTTCCGGAAGGAGTGCGCGTCTGGTTTGAGAAACTGGAACCAATCCCAACCCGATGTGTTGCTTGGTGATGATAGGCGTGGTTTTTAAGGCCGGCGAGCCGCAAAGGTCGGTTTGTGGATGCGGTTTGCTTCCGTGCATGTATGGCTGTTCCCGTAGCTTATATTCCCTCGATTTGTCGATCACGTATAACTGTACCGACGGCTAGACAGTTTGCATTCCTAGAGACCTACTTGCAGAAATTGGACTTGACAGGCCGCGAGGGAAACGACAAGAGCAAGGAAGTTTTTTCAGCACTACAGGCAGTCGACTGCGCAAAAAACACGAACGCCACATTCCATTGGTCAAGAAAGCCGGCCCTGCCTTTTTCGGGCATGGGCACCTTGCGAGGGAATCGAGTCCGAACATGCATGCCGCGACACACCAACAAACCAAATCTGTGTGTTACCACGGGTAAGTGTTCCCTGGCATGGCATGACCGCTGAGTTTTTTTTTGTCTTAACTTCAAATCAGCGCTCACAACACCAGCAGTGCCGTTTACTCCGACCCGTGGTCACACAGAAGAGTCCCTCTCTACCCTCCCCTCCTGCGGCACTTTGCCTTCGATTTTTTATGCGAGAAGAGTTCAGCACTCTCTTCCCTCTGTGTACACAGGAAGTAGCGCTATCCACGAGGACAGGAGCGGAAGCGAGAGAAAAACTCATTTTGCAAGAAAAGCTCGCTTTCGCCGGGATTCGAACCCCTGACCTGATTTCTAGGTGTCGAGGATACCTACTATACCACCGGGGCGACCGGCTACGCGTCTCAAGAATGTTGTCTCCATCCAGATCGCTGCTGCTGCTATCGATGGTGTTACAACCAATCCGGAAGACCGTAACGCGACTTATTTTCTCTGTTGCGACGTTCCCTCGCTTTGAGGGGCGAACAAAGCTTCGTTGTAGGCGCCATCTATCAATATCATGGTGTCACCCCAGCGCCAGGTTCCAGAGGTGAAACGGGGATCTGCCGGCCTGTGGTGTGTGCCTGTGTTGCCCGCGTGTCTTTTGTTGCGGTTGAGTTTCTTCGTGCCTCCACAAGGTCAGAGGGCTGCATACCGCGTTCCGCAGGAGCATTTCGCATTAATTGGTTCACCTCACAGCCGGTTCCCCGCTTCCCCATAAACATGAGACTCGGCGCAAAAGGCATCACGAGATTCGCAAACTGGTACATCGAAACGGAAACATCAGTGTTCACCCGATGGGGGGTGGAGGCTGTGACAAAGCAAACTGAGGCCAGGAGGATGTGGGAATGATGCTCTTTGTCGACGTGCGACCACAGTTGCTCATAATGCTAGTTCTTCCAAGTAGTCACGGTACTAAATTTCTTGTCCCCAACACCATACTTGTTGTCATGTTGTGGTTGTTATTGGTCCTCTCCACCACGGCAAGCGTTCAGATCTCAATTGAGCACTTCCAAAAGCTGCACAATAGCCCAATCCGCCAAGCACGCAAGGGCAGTGCTTCTGCGCCGCGAACGAACACAGAGCTCGCCGGGACAATGTCTCCCGGTAAAGCCTTCCCTGAGCAAACACATCCCCACGGCTCCAGGGCAAACACCAACTGTAAGTATCACCAGCAGAACTACTATGACGAAGGTGGGGCTCGAACTTTTCTTCTGAGAAACTCAACGAAGGAGTCCACGTCCTTGTCCACAGCGACCCGATCGTCCGACACTGCTACCTCTCCCCCCCCGCCCCGCCGCCCTTCTCCCTCCCTCCCCTCTTCCTCCCCC